GCTGAAGCTGTCCACAATCCTTGTGGGGCGTCGTCGTTCATGATGCAGAATATCGACTCGTCTATCTGCTCAGTCAATAGGTTTCCCCTACGATCATTTGCCAGGCTTGATTACCAAAGATCGTGGTGTGCGTTGAAGTCACCTACTGTCATTCGGTTTTCACCTCAGAGTAGCTACACACACAGCCACAGCAATGCGCTGACATTCTAGCGTAGTGTCACTCGGGTCGATGTCTTCTTCGATTAGATGATACTGCACTGTGTGGTGTAGGATAGGCTAATACTCCACCTTTATCTTGCTCGCGAGCTTTACGGAGCACATTGAAGGCAGTGCAACTGAACAGAGTTGAGTTGCTGTACAACTTCGTTTCTTGGATCGCAGATATCAATATGCCATGCCGACCAATGAAGACTGCTACCTCTTCAATCTTGCTCTGAAGTCCGTTGCAATTCAGTTGCAGGTGTTTCGTATGTCTTTGGAGGCTGATCGCGATACGGGGGGCGAGGGACGTGTGGAGTCTACCTTGGGCTTGTTGCGCCCGATGCAGTAGCTGTTGCTGTCTGGTGGTGGGTGGCTGCAGTGTGTGCGATATTGTTTGCGTTAACAGTGCTCTGCAGCAGGAGGCGCTGTAGTTTGTTTCCCACTCGCGCGTGGGGCGTAGGCCAGAGCGTAGACGGAAGTAGCACCAGCCATGTGTTGCGTTTGACTGATGTCACATTTCGGTATACTCTGTTCTGGCACACGGAGCAGATGCTGTGGGCAACCATGAGCTGCTGGTTGGTTCGCACACGTGAGTTGGAGCGGCGGGTAGATTGATGTGAGGTTTGAGTGGGTGGGAAGGTTGTTGCTCAGGGGACCTTCTAGGAGGCGTGCGGGCTCTTTGAGTGCTAGTTCGTGGAGACTGGAGGTGCCGTTTGGCTCGAGCAACAGGCGGTCACAAAGCTTGTGATCCACTCACTGGGAGACCTAAGGCCAGAACAGGTTCTTAGGTGACTTCATCCGTCGCAGGAATTGCACCTAACAGAAGTGGAGTTCGGATGGAGTCGTCTTTGGCAAACGAAGCAGGAGTATGTTTCTGGTCCGCGGTTAGGCTCAATGACCGCCCGGAGAAGAAGGATGCGGAGCAATCCGGCTGCAAGGTATTGTTCCATGGACGTGAAATGATTGAAGGGTATCGCCGATCTAAGCAAGGTTAGGTCGCCGAAACAACAGTCCTTGTCATTCCGGTACGTACAACCGGCTGTCGTGGGAATGTACGGTCGATGTATGCTTCGATAAGACGATACTGCACGGCGTAGTGCGTGATAAGCGCCAGGCCAACACCATTATCCCCGCGATTTCAACGGGGCACATTGTATCCGTCGCAGCTCAACAATGTCGAGTTGCTGTGCAACTTTGTCTCGGACCACAGCTATCAATATCCCATGTCGAGCCATGAAGATGGGTATCTGCTTGATCTTACTTTTTAGGGAAGTGTGATGTAAAGGAGTTGTGTTGCCTTCCCTCCATTTTCTATGAGTGCTGCCCTGTGGCGGTGCGGCTCGTCGTCGCGGGGGAATTTACGACTTAGCAGGCGCAGCAGGGGCCCATGTAGTCGCCCCTCGAGAATTATCGATAATCGCAATTTAACAGTTCGACAACCAGCAAGCGGCTGTAAACAAGCTGTGCGAGTAAAATTAAATTATTAAAATATAGATTTTTAAGGAAAAGACAGCAATACAGCTAAGTTCATCACAATTATTTGTTTAAGAGGAAGAGAAGTGCATGAACGCGGGCTCAATCAGGCGACATTTAAAGGATAATTCCAATCCTCTAGAACTACTGCGTCCACTGTAAGCAAAAGTTAATGCTTTCCGGGTTTTCTTTTATTATCGTTTTGTGTTCATTTTCAAAGCATATTGAGGACTTCCAAAAGAAGCTGTAATATAATTGGTTAATAAACAGATGAACCACTTGGTTCAACTTCAATACCTCCGCTCATAAAAGCGTGCGCACCTCTTCGATTTTTCGCGGAAGGAAGTGCCACAACAATGACTTTTTCGAAACTTGGTGTGTCGGTAGTTTTAAAACAGGTGCTTCAGTCGATAAAGGAAAAAATTTGCAATCAGTGTTCGCTTTTGTTTCGCAAAAAGGGCGTACTCCACGGGAATTAAAATTCCATGTTATTGTTTTGTTATTTTCACCATATTCTGTAAAAGCAAACTGCATTGCAAAATGTTAATATCGTTCAAATTATTAAAAAGTAAAATATATGACACGCTTTTCAATTTTCGCTCCTAAATACGCCCAAAAACATTCCCAGCAACCACAAAAATGTAGTAGCCTGTATACACACTTTGTAGCAACTGCAGTTGTCAGTTGAAAGTTGCCAGTTGCCATCCGTAATATCGTTTTGGCAACTATCAACGCAACTGAAGTTCGATTGCTATCGATAATCGACCCATTAGTTATTAACGTATGTATATACTTTATTTATATACCAAAATAAAAAAAATAAAAAATTAATCAGGGCTATCACGGAATCCATCGCAGAAAATCTACGAATTCAAATGCCCGCTACGAATACGAAAAAATTGCTATCACTGAATCCGAGTGAACTCGAAAATATCGTTGCCAGCTTCGAATGCTGATTCGAAGGAAACAACAGACATTTATGTATGTCATTTTGCTCACGCTACCCCATCAGGTGCAATGGCCGAGTGTGCAAAGCACTAAGGCAAAAGTGAAGATAAAGACGAAAATGGAGATAATGACAGATACATAAGAATTAGGGTAACGGAAAGGGTAAGAATATTTCTTGAATTTATGAAGTGAAACTTCTTTAGCGGCAGTTGGTTGGTTGGGAGTAAATTGTCAAATTCAAGGGGATTAATGCACATGGAAGTAGTTCTCAGCGATTTAGCGGTTTGAGAATAAAAACAAAAACAAAGTTGTCTAGAGGTACAGGCAAAAACGAAGATCAAAAGTAAATTTAAACACTTTAAGGTAAAAGTGAAGAAGAATATGCAAAAATAAAGATAAATATGAAGAACAGG